GGGTTGCGATCCCGTTACCAGTCACGAAAAAAGACAAAAAAAAAAAATTAATTCAGTTTAAGTCCCTTTGTTTCTAGCATCTATTTTCTCTATATATATACTGTACTGGCAATGTCAGCACTATAGACAGCCCAGATCCAGCATCAACAGATGAACATTAGATAAAATACATATACATTCAAACAAGTGAGGAACATTCCTCTGCAAGTCTTTTTCCTTTATAGCATCCCATATTACAATCTCTTTTCATTCATCTGTTTTTTTGTGTGTGTTTTTTCCTGGCAACTCAATTTCCCTCTCCACCCATTTATGTTGTTCCATAGGCGAATAAACCTCTCACTCCCACCTGTCAACCTGGCTATCAGCCAGGGTGAGTCTTCCTGCTCCTCATAATTGATGGTCTTGACTGACAGGCAGACAAATTAGGACAATGGATCATCATGATAGTAAAAGCATATATCAGATTGTTTAGGAAGGGTAAGAAACAGAAAGAATTCTGATTGCAATGAAGAAACCACATCTACAATATCATTACTGATCCTCCACCAAAATTTTCTTTTCGTATTTTTTATACTTCATTATGGAAGGACCATAGGAAGATTACTGATAGAAGAATAAATGAACTGTGTATTTACAGTAAAAACAAACAAACAAAAAAACCCCCAAATTTCTCAGCACAATAAAAGGTTCTGAGAAATTCTAAGGTCAAAAATTATGACACCTAAAATCCAGGCAGAAAAATTTGCAGGAAGCAGAGTATGTTTAACATAGGCCTAATTCTAACACAGCCACAGAGTACTGTCAATATGCCAAGAAGAAAAAACTGGTTAAAATTAAAGTTCCTTTGTCTCTAGCACCAATTTTCTATCTCTATATGTTGTACTGGAAATGTCAGCACTACAGACAGCCCAGATTGGAAATACTCTCCCATATCCAGCTACCCACAGATTATCCAGTAACCTGATCCTGCAAACACACAGGACAGAGAAAAGAGAAGAGAAAAAATGTTTACCTGAAAAAGATATCTTCCAAATTAATTCACATCTCACACAATGTTCTCCATTTTATTTGCATAAAGATAACCTATCTTAGGATCTACAGTGAGTACTTTCAGGGTCCAGTGGCTGTAGCATTTGCCCCAAAGGGTGAAATACACATTTCAAATACAAAACAGTACTGGTACAAAGGACACATTGAGAAATAAATGAATCTTTTCCGACTGATCTCTGCTCACTTCAGTACTCCAGGAATATGGGGAAGAAGAAAAGAAGTTCTTACAGGTAGACCTTTTATACGCAGGCAAATACAGAACATGAGATTTTGCAAAGATGAAAATGTTTTTAGGAGCACATGAAGGCCAATGAATGATTGGCTCTAACCCTAAAGGGATATATAAAGTGTTCATGAAAATGGATAGTTTGTTTCTGCTTTTCCATTGGCGAATTTACCAGGGTACTAAGATGAAGTTTTAAAAATGCTGTGGCATGAAGAAACACTGCAGTACAGGAGCAAACAAAGCTAGATAGATTGTGCTGGTCTGGTAACTTGCAACCCATCAAATGCCAGACATGTAGAGAATCTATGGACTTTCGAGACCTCAATTCTGTATCTAGGTTGTGTTGCATTTCAGGTCCTGCTTCTAAATGGAAAAGAAAAACAACATCACCACCACCAACGTAGATTTCCTTCACACAGTAAATCAACCTACTGCTGTCTTGTTTTCTCTGCAGCCAGACTGAAATAATACAGCACCAGCAGAGGTGTGAATTACCCCCATTCATCTTAATGGAGTGTTAACTTCAAAGACTTGTTTTAACCATTTAAATGCTAAGCTTGTGAGCAAACATTCTAAAAAAAAAAAAAAAGTACAATTTAAACATTTACTCTCAACATATGAAAGTAATTTATACTCAATGCTTCGTCTTTTAATTTCACAAACGTCTCCAAATGTTAAGAAAGTATACATTTTGTGCTTTAGTTTTATTTTAAATAGTTATTACCTAATAAATTATGAACATTAAACCTGTAACGAGAAAGCCCATATTTCATTTCTCAGGAAAAATGCTGAGAAGTACTGATCAAGATTTTTGGTAATCCCGGGGAAGGGGGCACTGCTCTTACCAGCCATCTGGTTTAGGGTTTAGGGTTACAGTTTAAGGGTTAGGGTTAGGATTAGGGTTTAGGCTTAGTGTTTAGGGGTTAGAGTATTTTATTAGTGTCCTCCAAGCTCACAGAGAAAGTTATTGATTCCAAGTAGGCAAACAGATACGGTGAAACATTAAAGTAAAATTAAAATGAACACCTCCACAAATAATATTTCTTGATATTTACTAAGTTTTGTACAGAGTGTTTGATAGGTTACTTGTCCCTTTGCCGTACCTCCCGTGATCTTTTCACATGAGCAGGCGACAAATGTATTAATTGATGCCCAGCTGTCATCACACTTGACATTTGCCCCAGGGGGCATCCTTACATCTGTTGCAGATTTAGGGTTATTTTGGTATTACTGGAGTTAGGTTTATTTAAGCAGCTGAACACTTATTTATATTTGGATCCATAATTTCATAAACAGAAAAAGAGGGTACCAGTGTTAGGCTATCAGACTGATGGGCTCTGGCTGACCTGAAGCCACAAAGGAGGCCATGCCTGGCTGTGCCCCTGGGACCATGCTAAAGTGCCTAGTTTCAGGAAGGCATTAGTAGGAGCACACGGCTGGTGTAATACTGTGGGAAAGCACTAAAAACAGTGCACTGGGAGCCAGTTCCTCTATGAGTGAAGGTGAGAGAAAGATTAGGAAGATAATTGTTGTGCAAGATGGAAGATGAAGAAATTCAAGATATGTTTCCATGTCCTTGATTGAAAGCAAATTCATTTTACTGGTCCAGATAAGGAATCACAGAAAGGGGATAAACATCTAATTTATTAAGAGAGCCTGTTTTGGTCTGCACCTAATTTACACAAGGTCATTTAATCCTCTCAACACATGATGTATAATATGTATTAACTCCATTTTACAGATCTGAAAGTGGAGGCTTAGATAAGTCAAGTAGTGTGCCTTTCACTGAGATTTGAATCCAAGTCTTTCTAACCCAAAAGCTTGGCCTTTTCCCATTACACTGTGCTGTTCTCGAGTTGCCAAAGAAGTACCTCTTTGATCTTTCCAAAGGAGAAGCTCAGTTGTCAATCTCTCAGCCTGTTTCCTAAGTGAGAAGCAAGGGGGAACCTGCAAAAGTGTGCATTCCCATATATGCAAGTTGGCTCTTTGCATGCAATTCCCTACTTTACATGTGCACTGGGGTAGGATTACATTTTTATTGATACTCCCTGGCTTTGGTAGGCTGCTAACAAATGTGCCCTTTACATGGAATACTCATGGGAAGAGAGCCGTGGCTTCTGATTTCCAACCAGAAATAAGCCATGTCAATGGGAAGATTGCAATGATTTACAACCTGCAAACAAAATGTGATATAAAAGATCAATGTTTTTCTCTGTTTCTCAAGTAGAATGTTACATGTTTTAGTGACAAACTGAGGAATTTCAGAGAACTTTCGAATCCACAGCCAGTCATCACATTTCTATCTCAGAAGAAAATCACCAAGTTTTTGGATAGGATTTGGAGACAGGGCAAAATACCAAGTGGAATAATCTCACAGTTTTGTTATTAGCAATTGATGCGGACAACATTAATTCACAAGCTAAGATTCAACCTTGTATATAAATTTAATACATTGATTCCTTTAAAAACTAATAAACAAAAGATTGACCCAATATATTTAAGAACATTTTTAAATACACTTAACAACTTCTGTTCTGTGAAAGACACTGTTATGGGAATGAAAGGCAAGCCACAGACTGGGAGAAAATCTGTGCAAAACACATATCTCATAAAGGACAGGCAATTAAAATATACAAAGAATGCTTAAAACTCAACAATGAGAAAACCCAATTTTGAGATGGACAAAAGAGTTGAACAGATACATCACCAAAGAAAATATACAGATGGAAAGTAAGCATATGAAAAGATGCTGAACATCATATGCCAATAGGGAACTGCAAACACACCTATTAGAATGGTGAAAATCTAAAATACTGAGAACATCAAATGCTGACAAGCATTTGGGACAACAGGAACTCTGATTCATTGGTGGTGGGAATGCAAAATGGTACAGCCACTTTGGAAGGTAGTTTGGCAGTTTCTTAAAAAACTAAATATACTCTTCTCATACAATGCAGCAGTTGTGCTTCTTGTTATTTCCCCAAATAAGTTGAAAACTTATATCCACATAAAAATCTGCACATGAATATTTACAGCAGTTTTATTTGCAATTGCTAAAACTTGGAAGTCCCGAAAGGTCTTTCAACAGGTGAATGGATTAACAAACTGGAACATCCATACAATGGAATATTATTCAGTGCTAAAAGGACAGGAGCTAACAAGACACAAAGACATGACAGAAACTTATTGTATGTTGCTAGATGAAAGAAGCCAGTCTGAAAAGGACACACATGATCCCAACCACATGACCTTCTGGAAAAGGCAAATATAGAGACAGTAAAAAAATGAGTGGTAGTCAAGAATGAACCCTAAGGTAAACTATGAACTTTAGTTAATAATAATGTATTAATGTTGGCTCATCGAGTGTAACAAATGTACCACACCAATGCAGGATGTTAATAACAGGGGAAACTGGGTATGTTGGGGACGAGGGGGTAGATAGTACTCTCTGCACTTTCTTTTCAAGATTTCTGTAAACATAAAACTACCTAAAAAATAAAGTCTGTTAATCAAAAACCAAAAACACCCAAACAAACAAAATATTGACCCAATGTATGTAAGAGGATTTTGGGTTTCTTTCTTTGATTAAAACTGCTATACACTTCTACTGCAATTTCATTCTGCTTTCCTGATAATGATTTTTACAAAAATGTTATTTTCATCCAAGGTACCTCCCAGAATTATTCCTTCTTTCATACAGAGGTAAATTATCCTTCATAAGAAGTAGAAAAATATTTCATTTATTAATCCAGTCAAAAATGATGAGTGCTAAACTAAAATTCCCAACAAAAATTCCAAAGATGAGCAACACAAAAGCCTGTGGAAACAAGAAAAAAAGATTAAAAAAACAATTAGAGTGTTTCTTAAACCTCCACCCTTCCAAACAATGTATTTTATATTTTAATATATATTGATTTTTTCAACACAAGATAAAATAATATAAAATGACAAATTACTTCTTAAAACAGAAGTCTTAAAAGAAATAAACGAAAACAACCTACTCCAAGCTTTCTCCATGAGAGTAAATCCTCTGTGCTAAGTTTAAGATAAAATAGTCCTGGGAATACAAAAATCAAACATGTTGATGTACTGGCACCTTTGGAGGAAAAAAAGGATACTGTCAGATTCAGATATGAGGCCAGGTAACAACTTTATCCATTTTATTATGGGAGTTTTTTGAAATAGAAAACTTACCAACTACACCAAATACATTTCTAATATCAGGAACATATATTGCAAGTAAAACAATGATAATATTGAGTGCTAGGGTGATCAAAGAATGGTGAATCCATGAGAATGGAAAATTGGAGAAAAACATCATCATTAAAGCTTTTCTGGCCTGCGTAACAGAAAAGGAAATAGATTTAAGCAAAGAGGAAGTGTCAAAGGCAAAATATTTGCTTAGAGAAACATATGTACAGTAACCATGTTATTTTTGCCCCCAAACCATTTAGATTCCAAAAATACAGCATAAAGTATTATTATAAAGTGTTCATACACATAAACTGTTTATACACAAAAACTTTTCCGTGTGAGCTTCATAAAAATTATTTTGCTTTAATTTTGGAAAAAGTTTTCACACGCAATTTTTTTAGGTTACATAATTTTAAAAATTACCAACAATAAATTTCAAAGAATTATTTTCATTAAATTCAATAGACAGGAAAACAAACGATTTAAAACAAACAAAAAACATCATGCCATGGGGAAGAAACACCATTTACTATTTTATTTTATGTAAAAATAGCTCAGAGTACTTCCCATTGCTAAGGCAGGTAGCAGGTGGTCACATCCCCACAAAGGTTTAACCAGCCTCTGCTGCAATCTTGGCACTGCAGCCTGCACAGGGAGGTTAAAAATCTTGAAGGTCCAGTTCTTGAAAAACTCACTGTTAGAGATTCAAGATATCCATGCAGAAGCATTTATACCCAAAGTCTTTGTTTTATTTGCTCAGAAATTCTTAAGATCCTTATGTATAGCAACTAGATGTAGAATAAAAATCTGTTCTGCCCCTAAAATTATAATTCTAGAGCAAATAAAGTATTTTGACTAAGATTA